GGCCACAAATTGTTGCAAGCAAAATTAAGTTTTAGAGAAAAACCCATGCTAAGTGAAGAGCCTTTAAGTGCTATAACTCTTCACTGATGGATCAGGTAAAACACATAAATCAGTAATAGTATGGCAAAATCAAGCAACCAAATGTGGGAGTCAGGTGTTCAAACAGTAGAAGGCTCTCCTCAGATTGTTGAATTGGCTGCAGTAGTTAGGGCATTTCAGTTTTTTTCTGAACCTTTTTAATTTCAGATTCATCTTATGTTGCTAATATTGTTAAAACAATAGAAGGATCAGTTTTGAAGGATGTTACAAATGATGCCCTATATTGTTGGCTTTTGTGCCTTTTGTAATACAGACCTAACCAATATTTTGTCTTTCATGTCATGGCTCATTCCTTGCTTCCAGGATTCACGACAGAAGGAAATGCAAGAACAGACAAACTGATGATGGTTGTTTCAAACACTTTGCCAAACATTTGTGAACAAGCAAAACTGAGTCATGCCTTTTTCCATCAAGATGCACAAGCACTTGGGTGAATGTTTTGCATCTCCAAGGGTCAAGCAAAAGCCATTATTGGTGCTTGCCCTAATTGTCAGCTTGTACAACCTCCTGTTTCTACAGCTGTCGACCCATGAGGGTTGCAAAGCCTGCAACTGCAGCAAACAGCTATCACCAAATACCCATCTTTCGGGAAATTAAACAATATTCATGTGTCAGTAGACACTTTTTCAGCTGCAGTTTTTGCTTCTGTCAACTCAGGAGAAACAGCTAATCATGCTTGTCGACATGTTCTACAAGCTTTTGCTTCATTAGGCATGCCCCAAGAAATAAAAACAGACAATGGCCAGCATACACAACTACAAATTTGCCACATTTTTAATCAATGGATGTGTTCATCACTTTTGGAATTCCCTACTCTCCCACAAGTCAAGCAATTATTGAAACGACACATCACACTCTAAAACACATTTCAGACCACCAAAAGGGGGAAATGGTCCAAGCCACCCCTCAGATGAGGTTGAGTGAAGCTGTATATGTTTTTAATTTTTTTAAATAGCTCATTTGCAGAACCCAATCCACCAATTTTTAGACATTTTCAAATAACACAAAAAAGGCAAAACTGAAAGAAAATCCTCCAGTTTTAATTAGAACCCCTGAGACAGGACAAATTGAAGGTCCATTTCATTTAATAACCTGGGGCAAAGGGTTTGCTTGTGTTTCCACAGGTGCAGGATGTAAGTGGATTCCAGCAAAGAACATGAGGCCATATCACACACAAGAGCACACTGACAATTCCACAAGCAGGGAAATGAGCATGCAGACATGAACTGCACAGAGAGATTACAGTTCATGTCTAATGTCCCCTGCCCAACCTGCAAAAACTGCAAATCTTGGGTTTTACATCAATGTTAATACTCAAAAAATCATTGGTATCATAGAACTCTTTTGGCAAAAGCATGGTGTCCATTGTGTTAAAAAGAAACCAAAGATACCCAAATTTTCAGAAGTGAGTGTAAACAAGACAGTTTAGTGCCTTATAGTTGGCCAGTCCCTGGACAGATTTGGTAGGACACAAAAGCCGAATGTACCAAAATATTTACATGAAAATTGAAATACATAGACAAGCCTTTAGCCAAGAGTGGCTGAACAAAAACACGAAGTTAGATCAAGCAATATATTGGTGCTTGATAGCTTTGCTTGCTTGCTTTTGCAGTGCATATATGCCTGTAGATAAACCAAAAACAAATGTTTGGGTTGCTTTAGCCAAGTCAGCAGGTTCAGACACCATACGTTTGACCAACTCAAGCCCAGACAAACCCTTTCTGACCTGTTTGGTCAGTGTGCCACTGCCAACCAAGGAGTGGCCAATGCCTAACCACAAAAACTATTCACATGCAGTTGCCAGTGAGACAAATTGGGACCCTGATCTTCTTAAAAACCCTTTGAACCTCAAGAATTAGAAATTCTTGGTTCTTGGGCAATGGAATTTTGTGCTGAGTTTCAGTATCAGGGAGAGCCACAATTAAATGTTACTCCCCATCATCCTGTGTGCAGAACCTCAAGTTTTTGGTGCAATTGTACCACTGCTGTGCCTCCTATGGGTAAGACTATTTTATTGACAAATTCCCATGGAAATTGCCAGAAGGATATTGGCTCATTTGTTGAGATAGAGCCTGGCAGGGCATTCCCTCAAAAATTAAAGGTGGCCCATGTAGCATCGGACACCTCACTGTGATAGCACCTAGTGTTAAAAAAGCCATCAAGAAAAACGTAGAGGATGAAGATCTGCCTATCATTATGAAGAAAACTGTAATAGCAATTTTAAACCCTGGAGCCCTGCAAAACAAGTTGCATCAGGTTTGCTTTTACCTCAACTTGCCTCAGCTGTAGTATTGAAACAATTGGACTGATTGGGGTGTTGGTTGAGCAAAGAAATCAATGCTACTTCCATTGTATCACTCCCAAAGTGATGTGATGACAGATTTTAGTGCTGGTAGACGTGCAACCTTACAAAATGGAGCCACCATTGATTTTCTCTTACTGCATGGACATGATTGTGAAGAATTTGAAGGATTTTGTTGTGTGACTTTCTCTTACTGGCACATGGACATGATTGTGAAGAATTTGAAGGATTGTGTTGTGTTTTACAGCCAGGTGTTTGCTGTCATTCAGAATTCATCCATAAACAGTTTCAAAAGCTGAAAGATTTGGCAAATCAAAATAAAACAGACTATGGATCCTGGTTAGACAATTTGTTTGAAGGATGCAATTTTGCAAAATAGGTTTATATGTATTGATTGTTATAGTAGCTATATTAGTAATAGTGCCTTGTGTACTTCATTGTGTGCAGCAAATGATGAACAAGACCATCAAAAAAGTTTTTACAGTTCAGGAAAGAGGGGGAGATGTGAGAAATGGATTTGTAAAGGATTCTCAAAACCTGACTGAAAGCTGACACAGTCTTGTACATTTGTAAGCAAACTCTGAGATAAGGTCTGCTGGCTTAGAAAGGCCATGGAATAGAAATGACATTGTTGAGAGAGAGATTGAACTAGATACAAGTTTCAAGCAATGGCCTTGCAAAAAGACTTGATATTTTTGAGAATTAGAATTTTGAAAGATGCATTGTAGCAAGACCACATGAGGTAAATAATAGGTGATTGGTGTTAGAAGTATTTGCAGCATTGTATGGCAAAAGATAGTAGGCTGAAAATTATTTATAAGGTATTGCAGCCAGGAAATAGGTTGGCTTCTGATAGAACGGCGTTGGGTTTTATATCTCTTATATCTCACCCTCCTATGACAGTTTCTCTCGAGGTAGTGATAATGTTGGTCACATCTTCCAAAATCAGCTTTGAAAGGAAAAGACTTCTTTTTTCTTAGATGCCAGTTACAGTGGTTGTGTTTCTCAGATACTCATGGTGGTTAATACAAAGCACTTGACCTCATCGCCATTTTGAGCTACTGGTTTTACAGCCAGGTGTTTGCTGTCATGAGCTAGGCTTTTGTTAATTAGGTCTTCATATATTCTGCAAAACATTAACAGATTTGTTCTCCCTGCACACTCTTCATTCATTGCTACAGAACAGCAGAAAACAATTTCGCTCTCTGGCAGTATATTTATTACAACACCATATGTTCTGTGTTTACTTATGCTGTACAATTAAGTGATTGTACTGCAAATCATGGCCAGGTTCCTGAATAGCTGGGGCCTAAACATAAACTCTTATATTCATATTTAGGTTCCCAAACAGAAGGTCTCGTTTTCAAGTATTGAGTCCATCCTGACTCTTGCTGAGTTTTTTTAAGCAAGCAGACTATCAGCATTTTGAAAAACAGGCCTGCTATGTTTTCCCATGCTTCTGTGGGGAATCTAAACTGTGGTTTAGACTACTCTTAATATCTGTGGTATTGCAGTGCCTGTTGTATTCTCTGCATTGCAATAATTCCTAGTGAGGCTTATTCATGCTGTCAAACTATCAATTTGGATTGATTAAAATATTGAGTAGAAAGGTTGCCAGCAAGGTTGCAATTTTAAGTCTTTGCTGAAAGATGAAGAGATGCACAGAGTAAGAATATTTCTGTCAAGTCACTGGGCTTTTTTCATGAAAGGGTAGGCTATAAATACCATCTTTCATGTAACATGCTTAACTGCCTGTAGCTGACGACTAACCTGAGTGAAGTAGGGTTCATCAAAAAGGCTGATTTTGCTCTCAGTATTATTGGAAGCTCTTCAGTGTCTCTTAGTGAGGGTTTTTTTGAAGTTTTTCAAGGTTTTTCACCAATGTGTGAATGCAATAAGGCTTTCTTTCCTTTCTCTATATTAAAATTTCAATGAAATTTTGATTCATTATTTTGGGAGCTGAGTTAGATTCTTTCTCTGGATCATTTTAAAAGAAATTGTTTAAGCATCAAATATGTGTGCTGGCTGAAGCAGCAGATGTGTGAAAGGGTGGGTGTTGCTTTGCTTTATGCTGCTCATCCTTGAGAAGAGGATGCTGTCCTTAAATCTGTGGGCTCAGAAGCACAGCAGAAGGACCTAGAATAAAACAATGACAATATTCTGTGAAAGTGTGTCATGCACATGGATGTTTCTGAAATATATTGCTGGGGATAGCTTAGGCTTTCGTTTCAAAAGAAAATCATACCAATGCCTTTCAGAAAAAGATCTTATGTGATGAGGGAAAAAGGAAGGAATTATTCCTCATACTGTTTAAAAATAGATAAATTTAGATGGCCCTTGGAATGGGAGAATTTAGTATATGGTAAATCAGAAGAGTGATCTGGCACAATTGCAAAGGTGAGTTTGAAAGAATTTCTCATTTTCTTTTCAGATGTCTTTCATTTTTTTCTATTCACATGCCTTGATGGACCAAAATTTGAGGCATTTTCATTAATTAATATGTTTTTTTTCTCACATAGAGGCTGCTCTTGAGAAAATAATTCTGTTTTGTAAGCATTATCTGTCTGAGTCTGACTGCATGTTTCCATTCCCCTTGCAGAGGCACAGCAATAGCTGGAATTGTTTTCGGCATAGTATTTATAATGGGAGTGATTGCTGGGATTGCCATCTGTGTCTGCATGTGCATGAAGAGCAACCGTGAGACTCGAGTAGGGGTCATCCGAGCCACACACATCAACACCATCAACACGTACCCAGGTGAGGAAGCAGAGTGACAGCCCTGCAAGGGTGCCTGTGGTCACGGCAGGACTGTTATCCTTGGATAGCTGCAGCTCCACACTCCTGATCTGATTATTAAAATTCTTAGAAATGCCTCTGCCCAAATTAAGATGCAACGAGACCATATGCCTGTGACAGTAGTATGGGTTTTGTTTGACAATGAGAGAGAGAGAGAGAGAAAGAAATAGAAGATAGGTGGGGAGACAGAAAGGTAGATGACAGAGACAGAATAAGGAAAATATCACCACTCTGTGGATCCCAACGATGTTCCATTGATCCTCTCCAGCTGGTCTTCTTGGTGGTGATGGTTCCCCTGAAAAGTATAGAATACAAGGGCTAATATGGCTCAGGCTAGGTAGGAAAACTCAGGCACCTCCCTGGGGCAGGAGGAGTTTGCCATTGTCCCTTGCAACAGACTCTGGGTTCATTGCATCACTTCATTGCAGTCCTGTGGTGCAAGGCTTCAGGAATGACTCTGGTGGCACTTTGGTGAGGGGGGTCTTTGATGGATTATGACACTCCCTCAGCTGCCTCTCATGTGAATGTCCCATGGATGTGGCCTGTGGGGTTGGGGGTTCCACAGCTGGGCTGGTTTTAGTAAGGGAGGATGGGTGTTCACTGCTTCTGACCAGAGGTTACACCCAAAACCTCCTGCCCCTCCTCGTTTCAGGGGAGGGGAAACCTGGCTTCTGTGGGCTGTGGTCTCCCCCATGCCAAACTCAGCCAGAGAAGAATCTCTGCTGGGTTTGGTTTTCTCATGGATACATTCCCTCAGCCTTGTTTGATTTTCCCTAGGCCTGAGATGATTGAACAATAGCATCTTATCTAGGTGGTTTAACTTACAGTCTAAAGTTCCAGTCAGGTGTCTTCAGGGAGGCTTCTTTGGTTATAGCTTCTTTTTACAGTTTTTGTTATAATGGGCAAAACTCTTTTATATCAATGTTTGAGGCATGAACTATTTCAGTCTCTGACACAAAGTAAATGGGGAATGTGACTACAGCAGGAGGCTCTTCTCAGTCTGGAGGGGAACAGCACAGCTCCTGCTGGGAGAGGCAGGACAGCTCAGTGTGCAGTGTCTGGCAGCACAGCTCTGTCTGGGAGGGTTTATCCAGCTGCTAAGTGGGCTAAGGAGACACACTTCACAGATGGGTGGCTCGTGGTGCCTGCAGGAGTGTGTCAAGTCCTTGCTCAGGGCAGTGCTGCATTTTACAGAGCAAACTGTCTCCCTGTGCCAGAGGCTCTCTGGCAATAGATCAGTTGTTCTTCTTTAGTGTTCTGGTTTTTGTATTTGTTCTTGTTCATGTGCAGCTGGCTCCTTCACATTGTCCAGTATAATGGAGGCCAGGCATGTCACAGAATGGGGAAAACCTGGACAATGAGGTCTGTGGACCATAGTGCAAAGGCTTTGAGTTGGGATGCGGAGTCTAATGCAACCTGAGCTGACTGGATTTTGCTCAGAGTTCACAAGCTCTGCTGGGTGCTGCAGGATCCCAGGTGACTTCCACAAAAGCACATGGGCATGTCTGCAGGGTGTTCTGCACTGCATGTCCCAGGAGGGACTGCAGGCTAGGATGCAGTGCTCGACCTCTGCATCCATCTGGCATCATGCCTGAACTGAAATTTGGAATACACATTTGGGCAATGGTTATAAAATCATAGAATGCCTTGGGTTGGGGTGGACTTAGAGATCATCCAGTTCTACCTCCCCAGTCCCAGGTGCTGAGGGACCTGTTTGTGCCTCAGTCAAAGTTAACCAAGTGTTGGACGTGCTCAGTGCAGGCTTCTCTGTGAGTTAAAATTGTTTTGATGCAATTTTTTTTTTTAGGTGCAGGCAGCAGCAGGAAGGCACAGGGTCTAAGCCAGAGATGTCACAGGGTCTGCAGCATCCCAGGGGACAGTAGGGACCCCTTGTGCCTCTGGGGCAGTGCAGTTGTGTCCAAAGTGAGTGTGAGCTGGTGCATACGGCTTTGGTGACTCTACACCAAGCTGGCTTTGTATGAGCCAGCTTGGTGTAGAGTCACCCACTGCACCACACTTGTCACCACTCTAGGAGCACCAAAGGAGGTGGCACCAAGCCAGCTGGGGTCTGCAAGGCACATTTGCCTCGATTCCACATCTACCATATGAAAATGGCCACATTGTTGAAGAGAAAAGCAGACCTGGGATGCAGCATAATGGTGTTTATACAATTCAGTGACATTGTTAATTACAAATTCAGGAGCAATTGCCTTGGGATAACTTTGGGAGTTCATTGTAATAAAATGCAGAAGTGTTCCATGCATGAAGTCTTGTCATCCCACCCCTAGAGATCCCTACTTTTATATTCCTTCCTGTTGCAAAGGTTGCAGCAAACCTCAGGTGCATTATACATACTTATCAACAAGCTATGCAATACTTTTTGTGTACTCCTTTATTATACCAGCTCTAATGTCTGTTTTCTCCCTCACAGCATTAGGTTCCAGTTAGATTGAAAGCATCTGTAATCATCCTCATAATTTCAACATTATTTTGTGTACAGAGATGAGTATGAAAGAAAATGGCAATATTGTCAACCATGAATTGCTAAAGAGCTACTTCAAAAATGAATAGTTGCTGCAAGCTGTAAAAACAAGAGCAAAATGAAAACTCCAGGCCTGTAACCTTTTCCTCCCCAAGTCTGCTCCTGCAATGACAAACCCTTATCTCTCAGTCTCTAGGCAGTTTCACTCTACACCTCAAGGCCTCTAGTTCCAGCATCAGTTTCAGCAGCAGCAGGTTTTGGAGCATGGGGAAGCTTGGAAATGTTTTCTGTGTTCCCTGCTGTCATGAACACTTCTGGAATAATGACTGACCTGGTTTGGCTGCATGGCTTGTGGCCAGCACTGCCCCTGCCATTACCTGTTTTGGACAGGAACAGCACGTGTGAGGATGCTCTTGCTTCTGCCTCAGCCACAGCAGCAGCGTGGTGTTCAAGAGAGCAGAGCATGCTTTTCATGGCACGGTGGGATTTGAGTCTTTTCCCCGCATCACAAACATCCTAGGTTTCTGTTTCCACTCTTTGCTAGTACTGTTTTGTTGCCAGTCTGCCTGAGACATCTACAGAGGGGACAGGAAAGGATCCGTGATGACATAAATGGAGTCATGAGCAGACTCTGGACCTTAAAATTTGTAGAGGATACTCTATTTGGATGCTGATACAGAGCCTTTAGTTCTTACGTGCTATCATTCTGCAGCATTCACTGTCTTTTTTGTCAGTGAATGAATCCTTTTTCTTTAAAGGTATTAGAAGTAACTGAGAAAAAGTTTTTAGCTACTTCTGAATATTTTCGTTGCCTCCTAAATGCCTAATCCAGTTTATGAATGCTGGGCTTTCCTCAGATGTTCCCACTGGTGTGAACAAGGTGAAAGCTTTGTTCTTCCTCAGCCCAAGCAGTGCTAAGATGTCTTGCCCTGGGAAGTGTGATGCTGCTGTGCTTGCCGTTGTGTGGCACTGGAGTTCCAGAGGGTGTTTGAGGTGTCTGTGGAGATCAAGAACCCTGACTGCCATCATTTTGACATGACATAAATCCCTGTTGCTGCTGAAGGAGGAGGTGGAAGGGAATGAATCTGATAAACTCAGCCTTTCTCCCCTGAAAATGTTTAGCTCTACCACATTCACCTGGTACCATCTGCCATACAGGCATTCAAGCACTGTTACTGGCACAGCCTGTTGATAGGCACACAGCTAAGAAATGAGGTAAAGGGCAATAAACAATGACTCACATTGATATAAATTGACTGTATAATGGCAGCAATAATTCATAATTCAATGAATGAATTGCCAGGAGGTTTTATATCAGTTGCATGCAAGTCTGGATATCAGCAAGAAAATACTTGAAGTCTGCGTCTGAAAAACAGTTTTTTAACTCTGTGTTCTTTTTTCTCCCATTTCAGTGGCTCCACCACCATACACTTATGAATATGAAATGGAGTGCCCAGCTGACCTACCTCCACGTTACACTCCAGCCCCACAGACTGTGATACAGTATCCCCCACCTCCTCCATACCCTGGATATTCAGGGAAATAATTAACATGGCTCCACATGGATATTGACTGCCTCTTGAAACAGCCAGCACTGCTGGGACAATGCTCTTGGCTCAGGGACAAATACGATTGGGTTTTGCATCAACACATGTGGCCAGGTGTGGAAAGATTGCCAAGGCTCAGGATGAATAAAATACTCTCCACTCTGGACCATCACGTTTCATGATTAAACAACATGTGACCAAAGAAACAGTTCCTAAAAGTCAGTGTCTGATGAGTAGTGCTTGACACCAGTTCTCAGCTTCACCTGCAGCACTTGGGGGTGGGGGTTTTCCCACGTAGGAATGTGCAAGTGGTGCAAACAGTTCAACAAACTGTTTCAAACTGTTTCAAACTGTTTCAAAAGCACAAGAGGGTGCTGGGGCTTTTTCTGGAGGGAAGCATCAACTGTTGTCTTGAGGTAACCGCTGTGCCTTTCCTTGGAACAAGGGGAATAAGCAACAAGAAATATTGAAACTGCTTTCTGTTTATACTCCCAGCTGATAATACCCAATGATCACTGTGCACATTGGTCTGATAATCTGTTACAGATTGATTGTATGTCTGATAATCATGTTACAAGGAGAAGTGCTGGTAGAATTTTCTAATAATTAAAAAATTATGGGTGTTATTTTTGGCCAAGTGTGGATTTTTTAAGTGCCTCTTTTTAAGCAGTTTGTGACTAGTTTATGAACTGAAATGTTAACATAATGAGAATTTTTGTATGCGAAATACAATAATTTATAGCTGATTTATTTTTACCTGGACTTAAAACCTCTATACATTGGAAATACGCTAAAATGCCTTTTACATCAGCAAGTGATATTTGTATTTTAGTATAAAAATACTGAATCAGCAGAACTCACAAATGGGAGAAAAAATGCAAAAGAAGTATTAAAATGTCCTAGATTTGGTATCAGTTCAATTGCGTAAAACCAAGGTTTTTAAATTTTGTTTACCAGTAATGAGGATGTCTCTTAGCAAAGATGAGGGTGGAGACTGTGAGCATCTGATTACTTTTGAATGTCTTTGTCATCAAGTAATACTTTTTACATTTGTCATGCATGTTGTTCAAACTTACTTATTCTCTACTATATGCAGTCCAGATCTTCATGATTTAAAATGTTCCATGTACTTATGAAGGTAAATGTAATTCTGCAGCAGCTATTTGACTTCAGAATAGCTTATTCCATTACCTAAAGCATCATCTTTCAGCGTTAAGACTATTATTTTTCTCAGGTTTATATGCAAACCACAAAGAGTGGGTCTGTTCAGGAATTTAAAAGTGCTGAATGCTCTTGGTTTGAGTTTGGTGTCTGAGCAGTTTGAGAATGCTATAGCTGTGGCATCAGCTGCAGGTTACTGCTGGTTCACAGAGATCAGAATGCATTTAATTGTTTTCCAGTGTAGCCTTTCTCTTCTTTTCAAGTGTATTGATGTAGTAACAAATAAAAAAAGCGGCTTGCACAAAGGAGATACTGTATCCCAGTGAAATAAACCTCTCATAATCCCTGAAGTCTGGTGGTTTTGGTATTCAGTCCTGATTCAGGGAAGAACTGAAGCAACATTTAACTGAGCATAAAATTTATTCAGTGGCATTCTTGAAACAAGACCTCACTGACTGTTCTTGCTCAGATTTTGCAGTTGTATGTGTTGTTTTCAGGCTGACTAAACTTACCCCCTTGAAACTCCACTTAAAAGTGCAAATGGCCTCAGTCCCTGCCAGTGTAAGTTCAGAAGATCTGTGTTGTGGCCATTGGCCACACTGAATCCCCAAGCTACCAAGGCACTTGTGACCCAGTCAGAGGAAAACTGAGCTGAGTCTCAGGTGTTAGGTGGCTGTTTGGTTACTCCTTGGAGTCTTCTCCGAGAAAGGAGAGTTGCATTCTCATTTCTGTTTTGCTGTTCAGAGGTGACAAGTCCTGAACTGGTTTATCCTTACAATTACTTTTGCTCTTGGTATGTCCTGTGGCATTTCAGATGGTACCCTGACCTCTCCAGAGATCCCAGTTGAAATCCTCCCACGAAGAACAACCCTCTGTGTGTGGTTTTGGCAGTTCCTACTGAAAGCCCCATGCTGGGGTGTTGATGTGCCTGCCAACATGGTGACCAGCATGAAGAACAGAATAAACATAGCTTTCCCTGCAGAGAACCCTGTTCCTACTGCATCATTCTGTGCTAGTACCTCAGCACTTTCTAGTTGTGAATAATATTTTGGTGCCAAAAAGTTACCTATAGGTAATGAGTATTGTCGATTTCCCATTCCTGTATTTCATTTCTTTGTGCTGAAAATGGAGGCATACAAATCAAAGAGCAGTTTGTATTTGAGTAATTCAGTCTTCTGAAAAATACAGAGAAAAAAACCTATCCTATAGATCATAAATCTTCCCTTAGAGAAAGAATTTTTCCACCTGTGACCTTTATCACAAAAGTTAGGAAACAAACTTCTTGCAAAAGAAGGAATTTCCAAGACTAAAAGTCATTTATAACAGAGTTTTCTGTTTTTCAGCTTTGTGATTGCATGTTTCCTCTGATGATGTTGCATAAAGGACATAGTGACCAAAGTACCTACCAGGTTTACATGACTTATTCCAGGGAAAATTATGGAAATGGGAAGTTGAGAACGTAGTAGTGATTAAAAGGTATTTGTGTTTAAAACAGCAGTGGGAATGTCCATTATTGTATGTTAATTAATGCTGTGTAGATCCACATATAGTGGGGCAAACCAGACAGTGATTTTAGTCTCAAAGGATAACACATCTCTTTTCCCTGCTAAGGGCATAAAATGCAAAGGTGTTGCCCTTTCAGCAAACCAGACAAAGTTAGTGCAGAGTAGCTTAAAAGAAGTGAGGATTGCATTGAAAATAAGTAAAACTGAGAGAAATGGAGAGCAGGATGGAGCCTAAAACTGAAAGAATAGAACAAAAAAGTTGCTGTGTAACAAATGGAAGCATTTGACAATAGTAAAGTTCTATTATTTGAGTTTAGTTGAAAAAATTGAAGTGTTCCAGTGCTGCAAGAAGGCTGGAGTGGCACTTGTATTTACAAGAGCATGTTGGGGAAAAGGGGGAGTGATTTATGAGGATAGAGTTAGATTAGATAGTAGGAAGAAATCCCTCCCTATGAGAATGGTCAGACACTGGGTCAGGTTGCCCACAGAAGGTGTGAATTCCCCATTCCCAGAAGTGTCCAAGGCCAGGTTGGACAGGGCTTTAAGCAGCTTGGGCTAGTGGAAGGTGTCTCTGTCCATGGCAGAAGGATGGAACAGGATGATTTCTAAAGTCCCTTCCAACCCAAAGCACTCTGTGGTGCCATGACTCTTTGTGAGCAAAGAACATCTCCGTATTCTAAGTTCTTGCAGTGAACTGCTGGCCAGTGGTCATTTATTCTGTTTCACATTAATAGCTTGCAGATGAGTGCATTAGTACAAAGAGTTTTTATTTAGTCATACTTTTTTCAGTCTCATTCTACTGTAAAGTAAGGGGAAAAAAACCCACAAACTTGAAAATGTAACCTATAGCTGAGAAGGGTCATGGGATCCTATGCTTCTCTCACTTGGCAGTGGTTATTAGCAGAAATTTGGTTGGTGAATGTATCATCGTCCTGGGCAGTTTCTGGACTTGGACCAAATGTTACTGGTTTTCTTGTGGTCTCAGGTTGCCCTGCCTTTTATTCATGATTTCTAGACTGCACTGGAGAAGCAGAAAGCAAAGGTCTCCATATGAGGAGAATAGCCCCCAATCCCGTGAGCCTTTCTCCTTTTTCTCCTTGGTTTCCTAGTTTATCACATTAGATGTCTGCTTGGTTGCAGGACTTCTCTTGCAGGGATTGGAAGCAGCAGGAGTTGCAGGTGCTTACGAAAGACATATGCTGGCACATGCTTTGATGCTAGTCCTGTTTTGTGTAGAAAAAAATCTGTGTGGTGTCTTATTTATTCATGTATGAGGGATATTTCAAGCCATGATGCATTTCACAAACTTGATTTAATCTGGCATTTCTTTAACTTTTTCTCCCCCAGCAGGAGCTACTTCAAAACCAGTTCTCTCTCAGAGAGCCTACTGTTTCTAGGGTATATACCAGACAGCAGGGAAACCTAGTCAAAGAGCTGATGACCCATTTGGGAAACTTAACAAATGAGGAAATGATCAGTTGGAGGAGTTAGAAGGCCAAGAAAAACCATGGGAAGTTAATGTGGTAGGCTGCCATTGCCTAAATTACATATGATGATTAATATTATTATGAGCTCTTTTTAATTAATGAAAAATGTAACAATTTGCTTTTATAATGTTAGTAACTTCAAAAGATGCAGTTTTACCATTGCAGTACAGTAGACTGGATTTTCAGTAATGCCAAAATGAAAAGATTAGTTTGCTCCACAGAGCACCTGGATCGATCCTAACAGTGTTCTTGATATAGCAGAAATAGAGTCTTTCAATTTAAAGAAAATAGTCTCAAGACCATTTGTGAAATCACAGTGATACTTTTTTGGATGTAAGGGGATAGTTCTTAAAGCACTGATGGCTGTCTACTTGAATAGTAAACATTTGGCATTTCTGTATTCAATTTGATCTTGGTCTTATGAACCTGTTTAACACAGAAGGCCACAGGAAGCTAAGCCTGAATAAAACTGATTGAACCCAGAAAGGTGTGAAAGGATTAAAAAAAAACTAAACAACAACAACAACAACAACAACAACAAAAAAACAAACCAAAAAAACCACCAAAACCAAGAACAAAGAAACAAAAAAAAACCCCCAAAAAATTAAAACCAAATGAGGCTAGATGTTGGCCCCAAAAAAAAAGCTGATATGCTTTCTTTAATAGTAAGAGTCAAAGAGAAAGAAAAAGAAAAGACAGAAATAAAAAAGGAGCTGTGGGAGAGAGTAAAAAAAAAAAACAAAAAAAACCCCATCAAAACCAAGAACAAAGAAACAAAAAAAACCCCCAAAAAATTAAAACCAAATGAGGCTAGATGTTGGCCCCAAAAAAAAAGCTGATATGCTTTCTTTAATAGTAAGAGTCAAAGAGAAAGAAAAAGAAAAGACAGAAATAAAAAAGGAGCTGTGGGAGAGAGTGACAGGATAGAAATATATAATTTTCTGAGGGTCCTAATGATGTCCTGTTGCTTCCTCCATCTGGTCTTCTTAGTGGTGAGGGTCCCCCATTGCTAAAAAGTACAGAATCCCATGGATTAATATATGTTTGGGGCAGGTGGGAATGCCCAGGCGCCTCCCTTAAGGAGCTAGCTTTGACACTGTCCCTTGCAACACTGTGGATCTGTTGCATCATGTTGCAGTGCTCTGGTGCAGGGTCTGGGTCCCCTTTGGGGGTCCTTTCAT